TGACCTGGAGGAGGCTGTGAAAGCCCTCTCAGCCTCGGTTTCCAAACAAGGATAACAGTACTGGCCATATGGTGCTGTGGGGATTCATTGTGTACGTAAAGAATCCTGGTATAGTGCACAGCCTTAAAAATGGCAGCTGTGGTCATTAAGTTCACGTGGTTAGAGAAGAGCAGACCCCAGATCTCCCACTACCATTTACACATAGCAAGAGGACCTCAGGCCCCCAAACAGAAGGGACTTCAATACTCACTGTGCCAGGTGTCCCCACCCCTCATCCCACTTTGGACTGTGCCGCAGCCGTGGTGCAGTGCCACCATGCAGGGACACCACACACGTGCTGCTCTGCGTTGCCACCTCAGGGCTTTCTCCAGAGCCCAGCAGAAGGAAGGTCACGTAGCCTGGGACAAGTGTTCAATCCAGCAAATGTTCAGGTACCTACCACTCTTTAACGAACCGCTCCCAAACTTCACAGATTCCTTTGGTGTGGATACCGTTTGTCCCCTAAAGGGACATGTACTGGAGACCTGGTCCTTCATGTAATGGTCAGTACCCTTACAGGTCAGGGAGAGCTCGGGTGGTGCCTCGTGGGAGGAAGTTAAGACACTGGGGAACCACATGGGTAGGGATTAATGCCAGCATCCGTGGACAAGGTTCGGTCTCAAGGGACTAGATCGGTTACAGCAGCAGCATGTTGACACCTCTGTCTCGCTCTCTTTCCCTCTCCCCTCCCTCCTCCACTCCTACCTCAGGATGCTGTCCACCTTGAGCTCTCACCAGAAGCCGATGCCAGCGCCATACTCTTAGACCTCCAGAGGTGTGAGCTAAATAAACCTCCTTTCTTTAGAAGATACTCGGCTTCAGGTATGTTATCACGGCAACACAAAATAGACTAAAGAACAAGCTTACCATAGCAGCGATCATTTATTGCTCATGGTTCTGCAGTTTGTAGGACGGCTGGTCTCTCTTCTGCCATGCGGGGTTGGAATGTTCAAGACGATGGATCCGCTGGGCCTGTTCTTCCAGGTGGGCTTCCCCCTTCCATGGGGGCCCAGCAGGTCTGAGCCCAGGCTGCCCACGCTAGAATTATCTTTTTTTTTTTTTTTTTTTAAAAAAAAGTGCCTTTGTGGTCTTTTCTTCTTTCTCCAACTCTCTCCTGCCTTTTTGCTACTTCTTCTGACCCTCGCCTGGTCTTAGCCTGAGGCCTCGCTCTCTCAGGAAAGCAAAGCAAGACTCTGGGTTTCCTCACTTGAGAAAGGGCCTTAGGTTGGGCTGTAAATGACTGCATCTGGCTTCTGGGGCTGTTGAGTAATCGGCAAAGGACTGGGTGCAAAAGGGCTCTGGAAATGGGAGGCCGGGCGTGGCTGGTGCTTGGGAACTGCGGACCAAAGGCCCAGCTCCCGATTGCTCCGGAGTGGTGAGGTGAAGACAGCGAGGTGTGGCGAATGCACAAAGGATACAGGTGGTCCTTCTCCGTGCTGGGGAGCAGGGAGGTGTGCTGTGTCCCCATCCTGCCCTCCAGACTCAGGTGACTTGGCACGGGACGAGGTGACTCACCAGGCCACCTCAGCCTGCCACAAGGTCCCTCAAGATCATCCACCCGGTTTTGCTGGGACTCGCCCTCGTGGAACAGGCCTCTGCCCCAGGAACAAGGACTGAATTGCACTGGGAGGGGCCAGGACGGCAGGCTCATTTTCCCCACATTTAGTAGACACAGGAGAGTACAGCCCTTGTCCGAGTGGGGCCTGGGGTGAGGATGCAAAGGGGAACAAGCCACCCCCGCCACTTCTAGTAACTCCTCCATCAGGGAAGGGGGCATGAGCTCAGGAGACGGGGAACTTGACGTCACAGCACAGGGACAGAGGCAGCTTGCTGAGGGAGATGCTCCGGATCTAGGAGGGCAACAGGGACTTGTGGATGGCCACCCGGAGAAGCTGGTATGTGCAGTCGGTCCCAAGAGGGTCTGAGGACAAGCCCAAGACAGAGAGGAAGGGTGTGGGCAGGGGCACCGGCACGGGCAGTGGGGCAGGAGCCCAGGCAAGGGTGTGAAAGATGGAAGACGATGGAGAAAGCGGGCCCTAAGAAGGGCCATGGGGCATCCAAGCAGTTTCAGGAAGAAGAGAGACGGAGGTCCAGGTGAGTTGAGGGTAATCATGCAGGTTGCTGTTACAGCCAGACCGACAGAAGGGAGTCAGTATCAGGGGCAGGGAGACCAGCTAAGGGGACTCGGTCATTCACTCCGCAGATACCTAGGGAGCCCTGCTGTGGAACCCAGGTAGCAGGGACCAGAACGGGCAGAGGTCAGGGAGGAGCTCACAGGATCACGCAAACATCCTGGCAGTTCATACTTCAGCATCCTGTCCCTGGGCCAGTGGTGCAGGATTTGGAAAGAGGTTAAACTGTTACTTCAAGAATATGACAGGCAGATCAGAAGAGCTGACAGGAAATCACAAGGGGCCCCAGAGAGATCGGTCTAGGCCCAGGGCAGCTCAGCCCTGCCTGCCCCAGGCTCCAGACCAATGCCAGGTCTACCGATGGTGACCTAGCAGGCCCTTCCAGCCGTGACTTCCCCAGGGCTCCACAGGAAGTCACAGGTGCAGCTGGGCCTTACGCTGGTCTCTCCCCCTCCTGAGCTCAGGTCCCCTCGGGTCACAGAATCCTCAGGGGACAGAGCCACTTCCTGCCTCCATCAGACTTTGGGTCCTCTGGAGGGGTCTCCCCATCAGATCAGGAGCCCACAGAGGGTAAGAAGGATAGGAATGCAAGTTGTTGCACTTGGGGAGCACCCTGTACCTTGCTTTCCTTACCTGTAAAATGGGGCGAACAGTAATATCCGTGAGCAGAACACTCAATACCAAGCACGGACCAAGAGGGGTGCGGGGTGAGGGCAGTGGTCCTGGCGGAGGGTGCATCACCACTAGGCAGGGCGGCAGAGGCTGCAGGGAACTCAGCAGAAGGATGCCTCAGGACCTCTGTGGGCCTGTGGTCGGGCCTGCAGGTCTCACTGGCCCACGTTAAATGCAACCTGTAGCTTCCACAGGGGGCTTCCCCTCCGGGTCTCCAAACTTCCACACCACGTCTGCATCTCCCCTCTTCTACCCACCAGGCAGCCCCGAGCACTTCAGTCCTCCCCACGCTGCTGGTCCCCGCAGGAACTTGGGGCCTCCAGGGCCCTGCTCTTCACCACAGCTGCTGTCCAGCATCTTCTCCCTCCCTGCTCACAAGGCTCAGGACCACAGCTCCCCCGGGCCTCAGTCTGACTTTAGTCTCTGCTTCATCACCCAGGAGCTCAAGCCTGCAAAGCTGAAGCTCCTGCTGCCGCCATCAAGAAAGCTCTGCTCTCCTAGTCTGGCCTCAAGCTGGGAGACGGGGCCTGCGGGGTGCACCTTCAAGGGCTCTGTGAAAAGATCCAGTCTGAAGAAATAAAGGCTGTGCTTAGTGTGTGGAGCCGCTACCTTCAGGATAGAAGGAGCTACAGTAAAACCAGAGAACGCTGGTGCGCATGCGCTTGTGTATGAGCGAGGGAGAGAGAGAGCACACCAGGGAAATCAGAGCAAAGTGTTGTGTCGTGGAGGGAGGGACAGTGTCAAGTCATCGGGCCCGGGATGGATGGGGGATTTGTTTCAGTGCGATTCCAAACTCAATGCTCAAAAGCCCCTTCTGTCAAATGGCCCAGTGCTCCCACACACCCGGCACACATCCTCTGTGCATTTAAGTCACCTCCAGTTCCTCCCAAGGCCCAGCACGCTGTCAGCACCTCCTGGACAGCTGTCACCCTGTGCATTTTGGGGAGTGCTAAGACTGTGCAGTCACTACTGAGCCTACTGTCTCAGGCCCGACTCCCCGGGACACATCGGCAGCCGACTCAGAATGTTTCCTCACCGCTTCCAACCTCAGCTGGTTAAATCTGTGCATCCGTGGAATCCGGTGAATCCCAGTGCCTCCGTGAAAAATGTGGTTCACTCTTGGAATCACGAACTCCTCTCAACGTACTTACCAAATGGAGACGAGGTTCCGTGGAGCCTGGCCTTCCTCCACTTCTGTACTTGAGGCTTGTGGCCTGGTGCTGCCTGCCCAGCTTAGAGCTCAGAAGGCCTGGTCTTTCCGAGCCCTCTTGCCCTGCTACCTGGAGCCTTCCGGAGGGCAGTCCTGCCCCAGCCACTGGTTGCCTCTCTCACCCCGTCATGGTAGCCCAGGGACACTGCAGGAGCTGGGCTGCCGGGTTTGGAATCTAGGTTCCCATCTGTACAGAGCTCACAGGTCACGCTGTGTCCTCTTCTTCATAAGCGGGGGACAGAATCCCCACCTGGTGGAGGTGCATACTTCACTGGGCGTAGTCTTTGGAGCAGTGCCTGGATAGTGGTGAGGGACAGAGCCGGCCACCCCACCCCCTGGCCTCTCCTACAATGCTCCTCTTCATGCCACTTCTCTCCAAACCCTGACCCTCTCATCAGCCAGTCCCCAGTCCTTCCTGCCCTCTGTGGGTCTTGCCCAAGGCCCCTCCTTCTCAGAGGTGCCCCCTTTCCCCAGCAAAGAGCACCCGGCACGCTGGCCTGTCCACATTTTATTGTAAAAATGGCAAAATAAATTACATTCGACATCACCAGTATGTACATAGTGATTCCAGGACAGCCAGCAGTGAGACAAGCTCATGGAACCTTTCACAGAACAACGTAGGCCCTTCCTCCCGGCCTGGGCCAGCCTCCAGCCTCGGCAACCGCTTAGAGAAGGGAGAGGGGCGTGGACACGGAACCCCACTGGGGTCCCATGCTGGGGAGGTCTGTCCCATCCCCCCCACAGCAGAAGCAGAGGGGACAGAGGGGAGCGTTGAGGCACAGAGGGTGTGGGGTTTGAAGGTAGGAGGCTGGACTCCTGCCTGGCACTGAGCTGCCTGCTCTCCACCTCTGCTCCCCGACCTCCTAACCATGATGGGGTCACAGCTCTTGACCTATGGCCTTGGCTCATGTCAGCATGAAAGGCCCCGGAGGGTTGGGATGTTGACCTAGCCTTGGCTCATGTCAGCATGAAAGGCCCCGGAGGGTTGGGAGAGGGCAGCAGGGTATACACCGGGCAGCCCACTTTTCTAGACCCTGTTCTTCACCGGCTTTGAAGCCAACAACAGATTCTGGTATAAAAACAGCAGTTCATTAAGGAGAAATACAAAAACATTCAGGGTCAAAGTGAGCCGATCTAGGAGAGCATCACTGAAAACCCAAAAATGAGGCGGCAGGGAGTTCTCCCCATCTCTCGCCAGAAACAGTTTCACATTATCACTCCTCCCCAGCCTAGCCATTCCCTTCCTGGCAAACGCATGCCGCACGGGAGCTGGAGAGGACTTCCGTTCACATTTTTGGCTGCAGCCCATTTGTGAGCCAAGAGCAGGGTGGCCCTACCCTGTCGGGCTGGGGACGGGGAGGAGTGAGCTACCCGTGGGCAGTGAGGTCCTGGACTGGGGCTGGGGACACGGACAGACCGGCAGGTGGGCAGGGGCGGGGTCCTGCTGCGGCCAGGTACTGAGAGGCGCCCTGCCCCCTATCACAGCCTGGGAGATAAAAGGCAGAAACAGATCCTGTGGGCCCCTCCTACCCTCCTGGAAATGTCTAGCTCAGTGCCAGCCCCACAGAGCCGCTCAGTAACACTGGTGAACTCAGCAGAGGCCTGGGCCTCAGAACTGTGCCACGGTCACCCAAGCGCCGGGTGAACAGCCATGCAGGTGCCAGCCCTTGTGGGTCAGCCTCCCACGTGCCTCCAACCGCCGGAAACACGGGCCACGTTCAGGACAGCGGCCTCCCCACCGCCAGGCGCCATGTGGCTGGAGAGCAGAGGCCCTGTCCTGGGCCTGCACTACATCTACCCGAGCATCTGGCTGGAAGGGACAGGAGAATGAGGCCCTCGGCCCCCCACTGCCGCGCCGGGGCCGCCCAGTCTCGGGCGGTGTGGGGAGCCGGCCCTGCCTCATGTGCCCCTGGGGCTGTTGGCCTCATTGTACTCGTTCATCAGCTGCTCGTAAGGCACAGACAGCTCTTCTGACTCCGTGCTGGTGAAAGTAGACTCATCCGAGGAGGGGAACTCGCCCATGTTCAGGGGCGCCTGGGCCGTGGGCCCCTCCTGGGGCTGCCCCTCCCCTGCCAGGGTGTCCTCCAGCGAAGACTTGGAGGTCTCCTCGTCCAAGAGGCCAGCCTCCTCGCTCACGAAGGTGGGGTTGGCGTCCTGGAAGATGAGTGGCTGGTAATCCAGGGCCCCCCAGGGCTCTCCCTCCTCGCTGATGCGGTCCAGCTGGTTGCTGAAGGCCTCAGAGGTTGGGGAGCCACCCTCGGGGTCCTCGGCCTCCTTGCCAGGGGGCCTGGACACGTGGCCCTTGGTTCTGAGGGTCTGCGAAACCTCCTCCAGGCTGGGCCCCCGGGTCTTGGAGTAAACCACCAGGGGCGCCAGGGACGCGGGGATTGCTGGCAGCCCGTGGCCTTGAGACCCCAGCCGGGGGCCTGGCCCCAGGACCCTCTCCCCACCCCCGCCGGTCTTCATTGCCTTCTTCCCGATCTGTTTGATGAGGTCATTGTAGGTTTCCTCCTTCTTGGACAGAAAGCTGAAGATGTTGACGTCCTTGGAGGCTGCACTTCCGGTCATCTGCAGGGCCTTGCGGGAGTGTGGGGAGCTGTCGAAGGATTCCTTCCGCCGCCGCCGCCTCTTCTTAATGGCTTTGTGAACTTCCACAAACATGCTCACCTTCCAGTTGACAAAGAGAGACAGCCAGGCCAGCCCTAGGTAGATCCAGAGCTCCACAAAGTATCGGTACAGGGCGTGGTAGTTGGCACTGGGGTTCACACCTGAAAGAACAGGAGGCCCAGGAGTCAGCAGGCGTCAGCAGGGCCCCAAACACACGCAGTGGCTAGAGTAGAGTTTAGTCCCGGACCATCCCCACCCCACCATCTTCCCAAAGAACCACAGCCTGTCACTCGTGCCTCCTCCAAGCCCATCTCTGGGCCTCAGTTGCCTCAATTATAAAAGGGAGATGCGGGGTATGGTGACGCATGCCTGTAACCCTAGCACTTGGGAGGCTGAGGCAGGAGGATCGCCACCATTTTGAGGCCAGCCTGGGCTCTATATTTAGTCGAAGACAGAAGAAAGTCAGATGGTAAAGCAACAAACACATGAAACAGCCTGCACTGGGTATGATGGGCCATGAGTGTAATCCCAGCACTCTGGGAGGACGATGCAGGAAAACTCCAAGTTCAAGCCCAGCCTGGGTCACCTAGTGAGACCCTGACTCAAAACAGAGTTTAAAAAAGGGCTGGGGATATAGCTCAGTGCAAAGGCTGGAAGTTCTGATCCCCACTACTGTGTGTCGCAGGCGAGTGTGGAGAGGGAGAGAGAAGGAGCCCACGAGTCAGTGTGCTGCAGTCACACTCCCCGCAGCTGGGGTGTGTGACAGATTCGATAAGGGAGGACCGGAACTGCGTGACAGGCCACTGGCAGCTGAGCTGCCGTTCTGGGGGTGCACTGTGGACAAGAGCCGTGCTTGGGTCACGATGACCCAGGAAGCCTGACCTGGGCAGGGTGTGTTCAGAGCCATCTTGGTTCTCGTCCGAGGCGGCTCTGCCTCCCTGACTTCCTGTCAGCCTTCCTGGGACTGACTGGCTCTGCCCACCCTGCTGCCTTCCACTGAGACTGGCTCCAGGGACCTTTGAGGCCACCGCCCACAGCTCCCCTGGTTCTCTACAGCCCAGGGCCATCTGCGATTTCTTTCATGACTCTGCCCTTACCGTAGCCACGTTGACCTATACCCTGCCTCCCTCTCAGGCTACAGGCGGCTTAGAGACGAGCCTGGAGGCGGGGGTCACTGCCTGCCTCAGACCGCAAGGGGCAGCCTGGAGGTCCCCTCAGACCCGGGAGTTGTGTGCTGAGGACAGGGCTGAGGTCCGACCTCTCGGCGCATCGAGCGTGGTGGACCCTTTCACGCCAATTTCACAGATGAAAATATGGAGGCAGAAAGAAGCCTGACACTCTGCTGGAGCTGAGGGAAGAGCACCACTGAGCTTGCCCCACACAAAGAAAGGTTTCTTGGCCACTGTGGGCCGAGGCGCCGGACAAAGGCAGGACTGTGCCTCTGAATTTCTCTCCACATCAGCGGGCAGCCCTGATTCGCCAGGCCCCGTGGAGTGTTCAGGCCACTCCTGTTCCTCCCACCCTGGACAGCCCCTCCCAGCATGCCTCACACAATGGGGGCGACCCCCTCTGCCCTCTTGGTCAGGATCTGGGGCGCAGCACAGGACGCAGAGCAGAGGGGTTGTCCCTGCAGGTCACAGGCTCAAGTGTGGCGGCAGTGCCCGGGGCTCGCACAAAGTGGTCACAGAGCCTCAGGATTAAGTGGAGGAGGAGGAGGAGGAGGCAGAGGAGGGGCAGGGCCGAGGGCAGGGCAGCTGGGGAGAAGGCCGTCCTTGTCTGGAGCTGCCTGTGGCAAGGGCAAAGCGGAGGCTTTGGAATGAGGCCCCCGGGGCAGCTCCCGCACTCTGAGCTGCTGGGCGCTATGGGGCTCTCGGGGTGGAAGGCCCAGCCCTTCAGGCAGGCAGAGGAGAGAAGGGGAGGAGGCAGAAGCAGGGGAAAGGCAGCAGGGACTCACCGGCCACAAAGTCACCGAAGCCGATGGTGGAGATGGTGATGAAGGAGTAGTAGAGGCCCTCGATGTAGTCCCACTCCTCAGTCACCATGAACACAAAGGGTGGGATCACCAGGTGAACCAGGACACCCCACAGGATGAAGATGGCTGTGCACGTGATCTGCGCCTTCCGCTGGGGACGGCGGCAGGAGACCGAGTGAGACAATGGCAGAGTCCAGAAACCCAGCAGGGACACCAGGAGCGGGGAGGTGGGGAAGGATGCTCCCAGTCTGACCCGGGGGGTGGTGGTGCAGAAACAGCCACCTGTCCCCCCAGCCCTGCCCAGCACCCAGAATGGGAGACGTACCAGGCTCACACCTCTCCGAGTGAGGAACTGGCCTAGCCTCTTGGCTCGGCCTCCGAAAAACTTGCCCAGGGCGCTGATCCACGTCAGGCAGAGCGGCACCCCGAAGAGACCATAGAAGACGCAGAAGAGGCGGCCAGCTGGGGTCTTGGGAGCCACATTGCCATAACCTGAGGGAGGAGAAGGCAGGGCTGAGGACACAGCCACAGCAGGAGTGACTGGGCCCCCTCCACTCCACACACACACAACTGGGCCTCTCCCTGCCTCACACCCGCTCCCCAGCACCCAGCCTGAGGAAAGTCTATTCGCTAAGATCCACGGACACTGATCTAACATTAACACAGTGGACCCTCAAATGGCCTGACCTGAGTTACAACCGGAATTTTAGTGGTGGACCCAAAGTCTTGAGTTAAGACCCAAACACTGGCCGCTTTGTTCCAGATGGTCTCAGATACAGATTTAACCCTTAAAGAGTTCTGGAAGGAATTTGACAACATCCTTTCCTGTCGGGGGTTCACTGAGAAATCCTGGGCCAGTGTCTAAGGACACTGGGGTATGTAACGTAGCTTTGATTCTGAGAGACTTTGAAGGCTGTGTAGAGGAGCCTGAGCCTTCAGTGGACCAACTTGAGTTACAGCCAGTCCTGGGGGACAAATTGAGTTCGTAAGTCAAGGGGCCACTCTACTAAAAGTAGCTCCCCCAACACCATCATTTATACAACAATGGCGATGGGACAGGTGCTACCTGCTCCATCCCACTGGAGCTCCTGAAGGCAGCAACTAGGCCTTCACCATCAGCAGGTCCTCCACTGACCCACACCACGCGGGGTGCATTGGACAGCAGACACCCCAGTGATGGTTCTCAACCCACTTCCTCCATAACTTCAGGGGGAGTCTTTCTCCTCCTTTGCATTCGGGCCACCTGACTTGCTCCACTATAGAAACCCATGCAAGTGCTGCTGGGCAGGCTGAAGTCTCACCAGCCTGCTGCTCCCCCCAATCCTTTGGCGATGCTCACTTTGCGATTCTGCCTTCAGAGTCCAGCTGTCATAGTGTGAGAGGCCTGAGCTGCACGTGGAAACCTCAAGACTTCCTCCTAGGCCGAGTGCCTGGCCAACAGCTAGCCAGCACCAGCTGTCAAACGTGGGATGGATGGGAGGCACCATCTGGGACACCAGGCATGGCCGAAGAGAACAAACCACGTCGTAGGCCTCTCACTCCTGGAGAGGGTGACCACGCAACCCAGGGTGTGCGCCATGAGCAGCAACCTGTCCCATCTCCTGCATGACTCGGGCTGCTGGGCTGCACTGCTCTCTCTGTTCAACGTGCCCAGGTCAGGGTCCACTGTAACGGTCCTGAAGCCAGGCCAGTCATTGAGGGCTTACTAACCTGACCCATCGAAAGGACCCAGACAGACTGGCTGGATTTTATCCTGAACAACGCTGAATCACCAGGGTTGGATGATTTCCAGGACAGAGGCCATGAAGTGGGCACCCTTACCAATGGTGGTGATGACCGTGGCTGCAAAAATCATTGCATTAGGCCAGTTCCAGTTGTTGAAGGTCTGGTTCCCTGTGATGGCCACGCCTTGTCCCGCCGCATCAGATACCACCTAAAAAGAGAGCGAGACCACAGAGCTCAGAGCTGGGCCGGGTGTCTGATCATCACGGTAACAACACAGCAGCTGGTGCCTGCAGGTGAGACATTCTAGGGAGGATCAGAGGTTAAGCAACTCACTCAAGGCCACACAGTGGGGAAAGGGTATGAACGCAGGCAGCCTGGCTCCGAAGTTAACCGTACCAGCGCGAGAGCAGGATCAGAGAGGGAGCTTGTTAAACAGCCACAGCCAGCTGGGCCCTGCCTGTACAGTGTGATTCAGAAGGCCCGAGAAAGGGTATTTCTAACAAGTACCCAGGGGTGCCAATGCCACCACACAGGGCCTACACCCCGAGTACCCTTGCGCCACTCTATTCTGCTTCCCGGAGTCAGACGTTACTTCCCGGAGTCAGACGTGACATGGACACACACAGGAAGTCCCCTCCAGCTCACCCAGCAGGGGCCAGTTCCACTCTCCAGCACCGACCGGCCCGGGAAAGGCCTTAATGCCCCTCGGCCCACTGTAGGGTGACCGCTAAGGTCAGCCTGGTGCCCTGGCCCTGTCCTCGGAGGGCATGTGGACCCACTGGCCTTCCTGTGCCCTGTGACTAAGGCTCATTCGTGCTCTCTCCCTACTGGTGGATCCCGTGCCACCTCCTTCTCCCTTCCCATCCCTCCTGATGCCTTTGTTCTCTCTGCCCTGGGCTGAGCTATTACCTGGGGAAGGACAGTTCAGAGGACTGGAGGTCTAATTCAGGACAACTCAGAATTGTGCTGTAAGTCCCCATAAGAGATTCCAGCAACGGACAGCAGGTGAGAGGCTACCCAGGAAGCCCGCGGCTTCTTCTCTGGAAATCCTGATAGGCACCAAATCCGTTCCTACCCGAGGAGACCCGCCTCTCCCCATCCGTCAGCGAACCTACCCATGGGAGTCCTGCAACAAAAGGTTCTAGATCGGGCGTTCAAGTCCTATCACCCCAGGAAAGCCCCAGGATGACCCATCCAGAAGGAGACCTGGAATTCCTGGAACTCGGTCCAACTCCCAACAGTGCATTTCTAGCCTCCCCCAGGCATGACTGAGGTTTGGTGGGAAAGCGGGAATGGGTGGATTGTGCCGAAGGAATGTGCCATTCGCAGGAGCAGAGGCCGTGGAAATGGATCTGCACACGCTGTGAAGAATTTTCCATGATGATATGCTTGCCTGACACACCAGCAAACCACACGAAGGGCTCTCTGCCCTGCACCCTCCTCGCAGTTCCAGATACCTCTGAAGGCCTTGGAGCATCCTTTGGGGGGGCACGGGAAATGGGGTCCTGCCTGCAGACCACTTACTGTGTAGCTGGACAAACCACTTCCGTAGGAAGTAACCAGAGGCCATGTAGACAACTAACCAGCCCTAAAGGAAAACCAGAACACTAAGAAGAAACCCTAAAGTGTTTGTTTTTATTTTCTTCAGGAGCTGGAGGTGGAACCCAGGTCCTTGTGCATGCTAGGCGAGCAGTCTGCCACTGAGCTGCTCCAGCCCCAAAAGGCTTTGGAACAAACTAGGCAAGAGAATGAGGAAGCACCAGGGCCCTGTGTTGACGTTAAACAGACACAGATAAAGCTCAACCTTGCTTAGCTTTCCTCTGCCATTAACAATAACTATGACCCTAAACCATACGGCTTAAAAGAACACCTTCAAGGGGAACTGAGTCACCAGCCACAGAGGATGCGGGGTCACCACCTCTGGTCACCCCATTTGGCTCTGTGGGGGAACAGAAGCCAGCAGAAGACAAGCTGTCCCTGTTTTCACAACAAAGAAAAGGGGACGGCTCTAGAAACCGGAAAGTACACCCGACCTCTCGGAAACTTCGGCACAGGGAAAAGAAGATGACTGGATCGTTCAGAAGCAGCGGTGGGAACGAGAACCTCATAAAGATTCACCGAGGACAGGTCATGCTGGCCTCTGAGTGCATCCCTGTCTGCTGGGAGCCTTGAAGTCCTGTGGAATGCGGTCCATCTAGATTTCAGCAAGGCAGTCACAGATGGGCTTAAGATACAACACAGAAACACGGGGTGGAGCTAGGACGGGCTGTGTCCTTCCAAAGGCAGACGAACAATAACCCCAATCAGCACTGGTCACGATCCATTCAGACGGAGGTGTCCGTGACCATCTGTCCCCAAGGCTTCGCCTCTCCCACATTTCCATCAGCAACATGGTCAGCACATTGATAGTTTTTCGAATCCTACGTGTAGAAGATGCAAAATTCAGGATGCGTGTGGGGTGGGAAGGTGACTTAACAGTGCAAGGGCAGTCCTGAGACTCAGAATCATGTGGACAGAAAATACAGACCAGCCGGGTATGGTGACACACATGTAATCCCAGCACTCGGGAGGCTGAGGCAGGAGGATTGCAGCAAATTGGAGACCAACCTGACCTTATCTCAAAAAGAAAAGAAAATAAAGACCAAAATTAAGACAGCGTAAGCCTTTTAAATTTTCAAGTCTTACACTTTGGATTAGAAAAGAACAGTATAGGACTAAAGGGGAAAGTCCTTGGTTTTAGCTGACCACAAATCAACAAACACAAGGTGGCTGCCAAGGGAAAAGTAAACAAATCTCAGGCGGCTGAGCTCCTATCTACCGGGCGGGCGGGAGGACTGAGCTCATTGTTCCGCAGCGTAGGCGCCCGTGAGGCACTCTGTCCCACTCTGGGTGTCGGACTTCACACGACATGTTAACCAGCGGGCCAAGGGCCAAGGGGAGACAGGTGGCTTTGTGGATAAGGATCCACCTCCCCACGGGCTGCCGTCCACAGACTTGTAACAATGAACTGTGCAGATCCGGGACAAGCGCCCTCTGTGGGGTGCGATGTGGGAGGGCTGCATGAGGGGCAGCAGCTCCTTCTGCAAAGGCTGGCGGTGCCACCACTGGGGGAACGTGGCATGTGCCAGACTCTGGGAGTACAGCCTCGAGTGGATAGAATCCCCACACCTACGCCAATGGATGACTCGGGGACGATGCTGGCATAAGTGGGCACAGGGCCAAAGGAGCCGAACACCTGCCACCCCAGGATGGCCCCACCCACCATGCCAACGCAGCTGCCCCAGACACACTGGCCAGCCAAATGCAAACCGCCCGTTGGGAACCATTTAGAAAAGCTGACACCGTAACGCAAGAGCTGTCAACTCAGGTGGCCAAAGAGCACAGGGGCGCGGAGAGCTGCAAAGGCCCGAAAACCCGCCCTTCACAGTGCCAAGCATGGTAGGAGTCCCGAAACAAACAGCTGGAAGCCTCACCCTGGCCTATCAAGGCACCAGCCTCACGAGCTTTCCGCATGACTGCTATTATCTCTGCAGGATCCTCTGTGGTCTCAGAGGAGCCACACCAAAGGGCCCTGAAGGTCACAGTGCTAAAAGCAAGGCAGCAGCCCTGTCCATGCCCACAGGGCAGAGAGGCAACATAGTAGGCCAGGGCTGTGTGGTGCAGGCTGCTTGGTGTGTAGGCTGCACGGGAGCTGCCCATGGCTCCCAAGTAGCCAGGCTGGACACGGAGCATGGCTCCACCCCAGTGCTGGAGACTGGGAGGGACTCCAGTACCAGTGTAAGTCACTTAGCTTTCACATGGCTCTTGCGGGATGCAGCACAGTAGAAACCAGGCACAGGAGAGGATGTCGATGCGGACTTGAGGTGCCAGCTCCCCGCTCCCTTCATGTATAGTGGTGGCTTTGCTGCCCATGGCTGCGATTCCACAGGCTGAGGAGGGCCTTAACCGGGCTCCCAGAACAGGACAGCTGCCCTGCACAGAGGCCATCCCCAGGCCAGGTCAGGCCTAGGGCGTAGGGGAGCCAGGCAAACACCTCGTGAGACAAGACGCCCCGTCCTCAGGTTAGAGAAACAGCACGCACGGGAGGGGGTGGCCCCTGCTCACTTTAACTTGGCTCCCGAATTCATAGAAGACAATATTTTCATTTTCCATTCATGCCTGGAGGGTGATGGGAGAAGGGGGCCTGCACTCAGCCCGGGCCAGGATCTTGTTTGGGGACGGAATAGAATTCCCTGCCTCTGTCACCTTCATCATTAAGTGCTGTGATTTACTGAGGGCTCACTGCGTGCCAAGTGCTGTGCTCAGCATTTTATGCGCCTTTAGCTCACTTAATGAGGACACAATCATGCTGGGAAGATACTATCATTTTTTCCACTTTGCAAACGAGGATTTGAGGCTTCAAGAGGCTAAGGAAGTAGCTGGAGGTCACAGTGCTAAAAGCAATGAAGCTGGGACTAGAACCCAAGGCCATCTGGGTCCTAACCACTGTGATTCTATCCCTCTCCCCACAAAGGCCACAGGAAGAGGCCTGCACACACTTCCACCCCCTCCCACCAGCTGAAAAAACAGTGCCCTAAAACCAGTCCAGCCACTCTGAGCCAGCCCTGCAAGCTATCGACATCCCTGTACCCCTGCACATGCAGGAGAGGCCAGCTGCCCAGATCCCCCTTCCCAGGTGCTCACCATCCATGCAGCCCGGTTGCCAGTAACCCCTCATCCCCGTGCGTTTTCTCACGCAGCCTCCCCTTCCTGGAGGAGGCTCATGTGGACAGCTGGGCACACCCAGGGCTCTGGGAAAGGCTGCCTGCTCTCATGCACAGGCAGGTCAGGGCCTTCCCCTCAGGGGTTGGGGCAGGGGAAACTGAGGTCAAAATTCAAGTCTAATTCAAGCCACAGCTCTTTGGAACCCACGGAGCGACTCCAGGCCCTGGCTGCAGCTCCTTGCAACTGCCATTTCTTCCAAATCACAGAAAACTGTCCGTACCCAGGACGCAGCCTCCACAACCTGCCCGACTCCAGCTTCAGAGGGACCCACGGGGTGACAGTGGTTCACAAGCTGAACCCCCGCCCCATCTCTGGCTGCACTGATGCTGTTTATTTCATCAGCTCCCTTGGTCTCTCTGCCTGGAAAGGGCAGTAGGGCTAACTAGCCCTCCTGTGCCGTGCGCTCAGTGCTTTGGGAGAACCCTTTATCTGCCCACCGTCTCC